CGACAGACAAAGTGAGACACGGTCAGATGGGAGGAACACTGGACATGAGAGAACACCATTTCCTGGTTGGTTAGTTGCAGGGTGTGAGAAAAAGGAGATGGGGTGCTTCCAACTTTTTATCTTGGCCTGAACGATTGGAAGGATTGGTTGCCATTACATGGGATTGAGAAGGACGTGATACAGGGGGGAGGATTGTGAGTTCAGTGTTGTATGTTCATACGCCTTTTAAAACTTCAAGTAGAGATGCTCCGTAGGCAGCTGAATGTGTGAATACGGACCTCAGAAGATGGGTTTCACCTCCAGCTCTGCTGCCCTATAGGGCAACCACTATCCACACATGGTTATTTAAGTTTAGATTTAAATTAAATGTAAAGGTTTATTTAGTCATAGTAATACGCTATGCTCAGTCGCCTCATGTGGCTTGTGGCTACTGTATGGAGCAATGTGGGATTATAGTACACGATCGTGGTTGTAGAATGTTCTCTTGGAAAATATGCTGTGGAGTGATGAATTTGGGAGTGGTCAGCATGTGGATTGTACTTAAAATCAGAGCACTGGATGAAATCACATGAAGAAGTGTGTATAAATAAACGAGAGGTCAAGGGGTTGGAGGTCACTTTGATAATGAATAGTTAGGAAATGAGGAGGATTCAGCCAAGGAAATTAGGAATGAAGTTTTGTGGGGCAGGAAAAGAACTGAGAGAATGGGCTTCGGGTGGCAAAGCAAGGAGGAAGTGATCGATTGTATCCAGTAAGACGAGGCCCATCAACCCTTGGATACGGCAGCGTGCCCTTGAAAGAGCGGTTTCGGTGATGTGTTGGGGGAGGGGCGGGACGCCTGGTCCAGAAGGATCACGGGCGAATGAGAAAAGATATGGAGACAGAGAGTAAAGACAACTCTTTGAGAGATTTTTGCTCTAAAGGGAATCGGTGAGTTGGGATATGAGCTGGAGGGATATGTGGAGATATATCCCCCATGTGTGGCGATTTTTTTAAGAGGAGATAGATAATAGCGTGCTTGGATGCTGATGGGAAGGATCTAATAGGGACATTTCAGTAAAGCTCAAGATAAGGGGGCAGCTCTAGTAGTGGTGTCCTTAGGTGGATGAGACAGGTGGGAATCTGGAGCAGAGTGGAGAACCTGGACCAAACAGGAGCTAGGGTCAGGCCTTGTGGCTAAGAGTAGGAGAGCTGGAGCGTGTGAGTAGAGATGCAGAAAGAGCTTTCACAGGGGAGATTGTGTAAATTCTCCTCTTATTGGTAGCATTGATAATTCTCTATGGCTAGCTTTACTGGAGCCTGAGGGACACTTGACATATTGATTGGTTTTGTTTAATAGTAATGACACTTTGATGTGCTTAATTTTTTTTCCCTAAACACCTCCTGCTGTTCACAGCAACATTTTAAAATGTTTTACAGGGAAACCACAGGCCACATATGGCTTAAGTTCTAGAGTCTCTCTAAAAGGTGAAAGAACATATTTCCAATGCCCATTGAAAGTGTGTTAGGTCCCTCTCAAATGACCAGAATGGAAGACTTTCAAACTCAAAAGGCAAGAAGTAATATTTTTAATTCTTTGTGCATTTCCACTGGGGATCCGTTTGCCCTGTGGTAGTCGAAGTCAGGATCTAGTTTGAATGGGAGAGAATGGGGTTGTCTTAGGAAGTGGAGATAAGTGAGTGGATTTCTTTCTCTACCATGCTTAACACTTGAACTTGTCTCCCTTACACACACATGCGTGATACATCATGTGTTATAAAATCATCCTGCCTCCTGAGCGTTATTGCTCACTACAACTCCATATGCTTCACCTCCGTTTTACTGTCACACACGGGCAGGTGCACTGCATTACTCCCTCCCTGTGAGATCTCGGTACAAAGAGATTCTGCTAAAAGGGATATGGCCCAAAGAAAACAGAAACACAAAGTGTTACATATACGAGATACTACTTTAATTGAAGGGGAAATTGAGTTGAAATAGCAATGAGCATCAAGATTCTTTTCAGAATGTAAAACCTCTCTCAAAATTCTGGTGTGATTGTGAATAAAACTCTCAATTGTGTACTTAATATCAAGGAGAGTTGTATGACATAGCTATAAAAAGAAGAAAGAGACTAGAAAGGTCTTCAAAAGTAAGACCTCTAGGACCTTGATTTTGAGGTTTTTGTTGGTGACTAAGGAGAATTTGGCATTTGTCCATTTTAATGGTACTATTAAATGGTACCTGTTGTGATTTGTTTTGGATGGGGGTGAAGGGAACAAAGACCCATCTGTCAGGATGTTGGTTGTTTCTGGAAGGCACCAAGTATTCATTTTGTTGTACAACAAACGATGTTCACACCATGGAATCTTCAGAGTAAGCCATAATATTCCTGGAGACGCTGAAACTAACAGCAAAGTGGAAACCATTTTGTAGTATCCTGAGCAGTGGTTAGTATAATGAAGGTCCTTGAATAGCTGCCACCCACGCAGCCCTAATTGAAGTGGAATCCCACCAGACAGAGAAAGAGCCGGGGCTTCCTATTTTTAGCTGGAAATCTGCTTTGCTTTTGGGGCATGAATGCCTAGTCCTAGTGGTAAAGAATTTTCCACAAGACTCATGGGGCGGGAGAGAAACAGCTATTTATACTCATGCTTGAGATTAAAAGAAGAGGAAAAAAGGAAAAGCAATACTTAAGAAAAGAGAGCATCAGGAAGGGAGGCAAATAATGTTTGCCCCAAAGACAAGGTGATAGATTGCAATAGTTAGGCACATTTGGCTGGCGGTCCTACATTCTATTTTAAGCTTATTCAAGAGTCACCTGTGTGATCCTGTACAAGTTCTTTGTCAGTTTTTTTCCAGGGAGAAAATGAGCAGCTATGTTGAAGAGTTGTTATAGGAATGTTTTGAGATAATGCCTAGAAAATACCCAGCAGAGGGCCTGACATGTGGGACATGCCAGTAAATGATTGCTTTTATGTTAGTGGCCAGACGTTATAGGGTCAGATTTATCCTGAGTCCTTGTCCTTTTTTTTTTTTTTTTTTTTTAGTTTTTATTCAAATTCCAGTTAGTGCACGTACAGTGTAATAATTGGTTTCAGGTATACAATATAGGGATTCAGTACTTCCATACATCACCCCTTGCTCATCAGGACAAGTACACCCCTTTATCCCTATCACCTGTTTCACCCCCCCCACCACCACCACCTCCCCTCTGGTAACCCTCCATTTGTTCTTTAGAGTTAAGACTCTGTTTCTTGGCTTGCCCCTCTCTCTCACTTTTCCCCCTGTGCTCATTTGTTTCTTAAATTCCACATAAGAGTGAGATCGTATGGTATTTGTCTTTCTCTGACTGACTCATTTCACTTAGCATAAGATTTTCTAGCTCCATCCATGTCATTGCATGGCAAGATTTCATTACTTTTTATGGCTGAGTAATATTCCATTGTATATACGTACCACATCTTCTTTATCCATTCATCTATTGATGGACACTTGGGCTGTTTCCATAATTTGGCTCTTGTAGATAATGCTGCTATAAACATCAGGGTGCATGTATCCCTTTGAATTAGTATTTTTGTATTCTTGGGGTAAATAATAGTGCAACTGTTGGATCATAGAGTAGCTCTCTTTTTAACTTTTGGAGGAACTTCCATACTGTTTTCCACAGTGGCTGCGCCAGCTTGCATTCCCACCGACAGTGTAGGAGGGTTCCTTCCCCTTTCTCCCCATCCTCGCCAACACCTGTTGTTTCTTGTGTTGTTGACTTTAGCCATTCTGACTGGTGTGTGGTGGTATCTCATTGTAATTTGACTTGTATTTCCTTGATGATCAGTGACGTTGAGCATCTTTTCATGTGTCCTAAGTCCTTTGGAGATTAAATCCATTCCAGTATATACATTAGCAACCCCTACTTCTGGTCCTATTTCTTTTTGTCATATCTGTTCATCCTGGTACAAAATTGACAGACACATTCTCTTTGGAAACCCTACTGGAATTCCTTGGATTCTAAAATTGATGATAGGTAACTCCGAGCGGGGTATTCTATGGTTTTTGGAGTGCCTCCCTCGTGCCCAGCTTCTATTGGCACCCAGGAGAAGGATTGTAAATTGTGGCCCAGCATAAATCTTAAAAATACATATTCTTAATCTCAGGAAACAAACTGAGGGTTGCTGGAGTGGAGGGGGGGTGGGAGGGATGGGGTGGCTGGGTGATGGACATTGGGGAGGGTATGTGCTATGGTGAGTGCGGTGAATTGTGTAAAACTGATGAATCAAAGACCTGTATCCCTGAAACAAATAATATATGTTAAAAAAAAAAAAGTAGGAAGGGGAAAATGAAGGGGGGGGGAATCGGAGGGGGAGATGAACCATGAGAGACTTGTGGACTCTGAGAAACAAACTGAGGGTTCTAGCGGGGAGGGGGGTGGGGGGATGGGTTAGCCTGGTGATGGGTATTAAGGAGGGCACGTATTGCATGGAGCACTGGGTGTTATACGCAAACAATGAATCATGAAACACTACATCAAAAACTAATGTATGGTGACTAACATAAAATAAATTAAAAAATGAAAAATGAAAAAAAAATACATATGTAGATTCAGTTTCAACCATTATCTGCGAGGCACCACTGTGTTAGTACCATGCTAGGCTTTCAAGTTTAATGGGAAGGTCGAGACCTCATAATATAACCTTATTGCCTTCAATATATTGTAAAAAAAAATTTTTTTTTGCTTTATTAATGGATATACATAGAGTTGAGGGTAGTGGGCTTATAGCAAAAGTCGTCATGTTTCCCTATTTGGCATCCATCTAAATCCCAGCTTTGATGATATGGAAATACACATTTTAAAGTATCAAGGGAAAACTTGAAATCAACATAAAACACACTTGGGAACAATGGCGTGAGCCAAGTTTAAGGTCAAAATGTCATACAAATATCTTTAAAATGTTCGGTGAGATTTCTGGAATTCCAGGGTCTGACCTGTCTCTTCCCCTCTGGTCTGTACCTGTGCTGTCCAGGTCCTGATGCAAGGCAAGAATCCGGGGATAGCTTGGAAGTATGCACTTCCCAAGGTCACGAATGGAACTCAGCCAGCCTCAAAAAGGCACAGCCATGCCTGGACCACAGTGCAGTCTCCGTGCTCCATCTCTTGTGGTGGAGGTAGTTGATCTTCCAATTCTACTTTCCAAGTCTCTTCTTAAAACAGGTTCTTCAATCTCAGACCTCTTTACGTTGTATGATTTAAATAAGCAACAAAAGAACTGTCTTTTATGGGAACCATCCCTGTAAAAAGCAAATATTATTGTCCTCTTTAAGGATTTTCCTATGTAGAAAGGAACCAAGTCTCAGGAAATTCAAGTCATTCATAACCAGGACTCAAAAGTTATCTATCTGAATTTATGCGGCAAAATAGACAAATACCTGGGTTTTTTTTTTAAAGATTTTTATTTATTTATTGAGAGAGAGAATGACACAGAGCATGAGACGGGGGAGAGTCAGAGGGAGAAGCAGACTCCCTGCCGAGCAGGGAGCTCGACGTGGGGCCTGATGTGGGACTCGATCCCGGGACTCCAGGATCATGACCCGAGCTGGAGGCAGTCGCTTAAACAACTGAGCCACCCAGGCGCCCTGACAAAATACCTGTTTATTTATATTTTTCTTTTCAGCTTACAGTTTAGTTTCTCCCTATCCTGACTTTTCTGTTGGTAAGAACCTCCCACTGAGGCTTGAGGCAGGGAGGGTCTAAACCAGAGAGAACACGCACAAGGCAAACGTAAGATGTCTGTCTGAAATGCGGGTATTGTGTCATTCCATCCCCTCAGGGGTGAGGCCAGCAAAGTCTCAGGAGGGAAGTGTGGTAAATCTGAGAAATCACCCTCCTAAGGGAGGGAAAACAACTATCCTCTCAGTGAGTAGAAGGCAAGCATTTTATTTAGATCCAAAAATATCATACATTTGTGTGTAAGTCAGTCTTTGTTACCCTGGCCCCTATGAGAAGAAGAATGAAAATCTATAAATGGATCCATAAAACTGAAGCATGGAGGTCAGCCACACATTTTCTCATTATCAGAGCATCTGGTGACAGTGGGTTTCGCAACTGTGTCCATCCCCCTAAGCACAGTGGGGCATCTTGAACCAGATACAGAGGGCAGAAATATAGAAAACGAAGAAATTCTTCAGTCTATAAGACTTCTTCAGGTGTTCATGCTAATTAACAAAACACAAGGGAATACTTCTTTGTTAAATATATTACATACTTGAAAAAAATTAAATACTTCAAAAGTAATACATTTTTATAGAAACAAATAAAGGGGATTCAGAGCACATGTATCATGCTGAGCCCTTAGGAACTAATAGCATTATTGAGTTATTATACTGTACACCCGAAACTAATACAACACTGTATGTTAGTTATACTTAAAGAAAATGTAAAATTACCAAAAAAGTAATACATTTTTTGTAATACACATTTTAAAGGCAATATGCTATGCAGAAGAAAAATAATTTTCCCTAATCCTTTAATCAGCACATGCCAATGTTAATACTTTTGTCTGTGTCATTCTATCACTTTCTTATGCAAATATAAAGACACGTGTGTTAGATGTGCTCAGACACGCCCACACAGATCATTTTATATTATTTTTTTACTGCACAGAAACCATGCTATTGATACATGTTTACAATATGCTCCTTTTCACTTAAATTACAAGCAGTTTTTCATGTATCAAATGCTTTTTGAGATCATTTGCAATAACTTCCTGGTATTCCAGGGAGAGCACTGTTCTTTGGGAAGGAAAGAGATTCAATCCATTTTCCATTTATGGCGAATGAGTCCAGCCAAAGGGAGGATGCTGGAGAAGTGCATTGTGGGATCCTCCCCTTGCCTTGATTTAGCGATCCCTTCATGTGACTTCCAGACCATAGTGTGTCCAAGGCATATGAGAAGGAGAGTCGAAATGAATAAATGGAAGTAAACGATTAACTTTAGGGAATCCCAGTGTTTGGTAAGTGCCTCCTCCAGGTACACCTCCTTCACCTAATCATTATCACAGGAGTAACTTTTCATTGTTTCTCAGAGTCCATTTTAAGGAAAAGTACCATGTAAACATACACAAACAGAATTCACAGAGGCGGCAGCATTCCTATTTGGAGAGGGGACAGACAAAATTATTCACACACATAAAAAATACGTGCTTCTGATGAGAAGTCTGGAGACGAACATTGCAAGCCAGGCATTAAGTGTCACTAAAGCAAAAAACCAAAAGCCCTGAGTCCTAGCTGACAGATATGAATCCCTATTCAGAGAGTTCAGCTTTTTGTTTATATCTATTTCTTATGGAAGTAGAAGATGCTTCATGGAAAAGTAGGATATTAGAGTTTCCACACATAATTTACCAAAGGTTTTTCTTTGAAGAACATTTTCCAATAGATGGATGCAATGTGAGTTCAAGTTTGTGGGATGTTCCCCTATATAGCCACCCTGTTTTCAAAAGGTTGTATCTATCACTTCATGGTTCAAGAATCCATAGTGGTCTTGAAAACTAAGAAGCTACACATTCAAGTTATTAAGATATGAAAACTATTATCTCGGAGGGAAATGGGATTCAAATTAGTTGCAGATAGGAGGTGTTCTCAACACCAAATTTAGATTCTGTATCTTGGGTAAAACATCAGAACCCTGGTAAGTCAAGCTGCACTTGGAACTGAAATTGAATTGGTTATCTGTAATTTTCACTTTGTAACTTTTGGTGTCTTATTAGGTTACATAAGTGTAAAGGCCATTTGCTTACGAGATCAAAACACTCAAGTCAGTTCCTCGTTCTGCAATGCAAGAACCAAGCCAGCAACTGAACCCAAAATATGCAATGCTTTCTCCTGCCCTGCTTAGTAAGTCATCTGGAAATGTCTTTCTGGTAATATGTGTACTTGCATGCTCTTCTTGTCGATATGAGAAAACTAAAACCCACTGCTGGTGCTTCTGCTCACAAGTGACCCAGAGAGAGAGAGAATGCCCAAAAAAAGTAACAGAGAAAAGAAGACAATTGAGGTTAAAATATATAACTGGAAAAACACAGATTTGCTTTAGACATTCATTTGACTCCAGCATTGCAAACCTAACCTTGGGGTTTTAAGGTATCTTTTTTTTTTTTATTTTTTATTTTTTGATCGTTACATAGAGCCTCCTCTGAACTAAATGAAACAGATATTTAAATAATACAAAATCCCATATTAGATTTACATGCAGTTGTGTGCTTAACTTTCGTATAGTCATCCAAGAATTTAAAAATCATAATACTATGCAGACCATGAAACCCCAAATGCAAATTACACAGTAGCAAGACACAAAATGAAAAGCAAGAGGTAGAGGCCAAGTGGTAATCCGCTTCTGATGATGGCACTCTATGGGGAGCTCGGCGGGTGTGTTTTTGGGATGGATTTTAGCCACGCTATTGTTTGAATGCTAATTTTAAGTAATCTTCCCAGCCGAATGGAGTCTTGTGTGTGATTTATCTTCTGCCAGATGTATTTATAGAGAATCGGCAGAGTTCCTTCTAAAGCAGTGTTGTGTTCCCTAATGATTCAGATCATCTTAATAAGTAGTGTTTGCTTTGTGGTGATGCAATTATATTGCACCATCTTTTCAGACACATACATGCATTTTTTCCTTGTAATGGTGCAGTTGTCCTCATTGTTTGGGGCTTCAGCTGTTCACCAATCCCGTATGCCCTGTTGTCCGCCTCGTTTTTCTCCAAGAATCTGGAACCAGCTGTGTCCTGAACACAAAGAGTAGAAAGAAATTTGGTGGGCTTCCATGGATTTTCCCATTTTGCTAAGAAATATCTGATTCTAAAAGATATCCAGTGGCTCTAAGATATGATTACCAGACAGTGTTATTGACACTTGTGGAGTAATGTCTTCTTTAGATGGTGTGTGGTGTGTGTGTGTGTGTGTGTGTGTGTGTGTGTGTAATTGTGAGTCTGCTTGAATGGCAACCTGATGTTTTGTGATTTTAAGCCTCCTTCCCATTGTTGGCTATTTCTGCCAAACAAAGAAACAGATTCCCTTCATATGTCCATCCAAGAAAAGGGAGAGAGCCTAGCTTGTGCCCGACTTCTAGAACTTCTGTGATGACCCTGTGTGGAAATAATACTGTGCAGTAACCAGTTACTGGCTATTTAAAAACAGAACAGCCCTCACAAGGACTGCAGGGTTGGAGTGGTAGAACAGGCAGGATCCGTTGCTCCCTTCCTTTCTTCTCCACCTTATCATTTATATCTTTGTATTTTCTGTTGGAATAATGGGACCTTCAGGGACATATGCTGGAAATAAGGTCTTAGGTTATTCGAGTTAGAAGGACAAAGGAGTCCATCCCATCTAACTCCGTTATCTTCCCATGCAACAAGCATGTTGTATGCACCTACTGGATGCCAGCCTTGGGCTGACAGTGTGGATCCAGAGAACTTGTACTTCGTGCCACCAGTGAACTCACAATCAAGGGGAAAAGAGGCGTGTGTAAGGAAGTAATTGAGAGGTGGTGAGATATGTGCTATGAAGAGGGCATGTACAAAAAAGCAGGGGGTTGGAAATGGACAGTGTAGGAGCTGGGCTCTGAGGTGGGGTTGCTAGGGACTGAGGACAGATGGGGAGTAAGCCTGGGGCCCAAGGATGCAGAACCATGCCTGGCATGCAAAAGGTCTGCCTGGTGTGCTCTTTCTGTACTTTAACAGATTCAACATATTTGTCGAATGAATTGGTTAGACAAAATGCCATCTTTATAGGAAAATGGTGAAATTAATAATCTCATATGTTTCCTTTACATCTTACAAGACACAAATAATTACACAAATAAGGAATTATTCTATTTTATATTCTCTTTCTTTAAAAGAATATGAATTATGCAGTGTTTTAGAACAACATCATCTAGAACTCATGTGCCACGTTCTCTGGACGAAAGGAAAGGTTTTTAACTTCACACATCAGGCTGGTGGGGGAAACCAGGGGAGAAAATTACAGGACTGGTAAAGGTGGCAGAAATGCAAACGTAAAACAAAAAATGTATTTGGTTTCAGGTCTTATTTCTTGAAATGAGGTTTAGAGTACTGGTAAACCAGTCTTAGACATTGCTCCTACGACTGAAACGCGTAAGGTCATCTCTGGGGGATCTTTATGCCAGGCCTTCCAATCCTAGATTATCAATTGGTCAAATGCAGTCGTTGGAAAGGATTAGTAGGTTCATTCACATGCACACCCAGTCGCAGAACACTGTGAAAAATGTGGTCTGGCAATCTTTCCATAAAGAATGTGAGGTTGTATCTCTAACTCATCCATGAAGTTGAATAACCAGAATAGTTGGGGGAACTGCCTCCTTAGAAATAGTTTCTGTAAGACCACTGCTGAAGGGGCCGTTCCCTCCTGCAGGCATGTGTGATGCATGTGCACCCCCTCCCCTCCCATTGATCATTCTTCCCTCAATCTCATTACCGTACTTTGTATTAACATCTATTATAGCAATCATCCCATAGTATTGTCCTTATTTGTTCACATATCCACCTCATCACTGTGTTGTAGGCTCCTTAATGGAAAGGACATTGCCTCGTCCATTTTTCCAACCCCGATGCCTAGGAGAGTCCATGGCACAAAATGAAGATCCCAGTAGATTTGGCCAAATGAATGAATCGCTCAGGTTTCCAAATGGCACATATTTCTTCCCTTGCAGAGAGCAGGAATGTGTTTTTGCCCAGAACTGTGTGCTGATTAAATGTGACTCCCTCTCACTGGACCCCATTCACATAGGCTTTGAAACCCATAGAAAAATAGTTGCTAGGAGTCGCCCTTACTGGTTCTAAAATCAATACGAGGCTTTCATCAGGTGGTTAAAGCTTATACAATAACTGCTTTGGAAGGGATGATGCAAATCCTCAGCCTCACTGGAAGTAATTCTGGTTTTTCACTGCAAGCTGGAAGCCAGGCGAATGGAGTGTGTGCAGCCGGTCGTGTGCGGGGGGCCAGCAGAGCAGGAAGATCCAGTGTGTCCAGAAGAAGCCCTTCCAGAAGGAGGAAGCGGTGTTGCATTCTCTCTGCCCAGTGAGCACACCCACACAGGTGCAAGCCTGCAACAGCCATGCCTGCCCACCGGAATGGAGCCTTGGACCCTGGTCTCAGGTAACTGGGCAAGACTTGGAGTCATGAGCCTTGTTCCTTCTGGACAAAGACGGTGGCAAAAACGGGTGGTGTCCTTGCTCTCCATGAGGCACTCAGCTATTGATGCTTTCCTGGGAATCACACTGAGTTAATGTGACGAGGCATTTTAATTTGTATTTTTTTGTGATTTTTATGCAACCTGCAGATTGGAAACCCCTGCATCACAGCTCAGAGTCTTCCTTTGAAGTCTAGAAAGTAGAGTATGGGGGCCATTGAGGCTAGATTCACGAGCCCAGCTAGGAAGGATTTGAGTGTCAGTGGATTGGCAGGCGAAAGGGCTACTGAATTCTCTAAAGCAAATAGAAAACACACATACAAAAAGTGGCGTAGGAAGGATATTCAACTCTTGCTTCAGGGGAAAGAGCCGTGGTGTTGGAGGGATCCAGAGGGGAGTCAGGTATAAAGTTTCCTATCATCACAAACTCCCAGTGAAAGGTAGAAAGTTATAGAGTCAGAAGAGGCACAGACCTACCCGCCATTCACAGCCCTGAGGTGCTCAGTGGGGGCTGGGTTTGTCAAAGGTCCTCTCAGGTGGTGTCTGGAAGCATTTTTCACTGTCCCAACATGGAGGAATGATGCTATGGGCATCTGTTGGGTAGAGATAAACATCCTACAGTGTCAGGGACGGCTCCCTGAAACAAAGATTTATCTGGTCCAAGACGTGCTGACGGTGAGAATTCTGCTCTGTGGTAGCCCAGCCTCTGCTAAACCACGGAGGTCAAGCCAGTTTCATGGAATCATCGAAAAGAGGCAGGGGTTCCATCGCCTGAGATGTGAAGCCAGGGAGAAGTCTGCGATCACATTTCTGCCATGCTTTCCTTTAGGGAACATTATCCTGGAGCATTGATTTCTGATTAAGGATCGCAGTGTACTGCCACATCCCCGGTAGAGTTCAGATCAAAGCTTTTTTTTAAATTATAGGACATGAGATTTTTTTTTTTAATGTTACAACTCTGGTAGGGGAATAAGGAGCTAGCAGTGGGAAAGAGTATCTTTGACATGCATTGGTATGCTTTAAAATGAAGGCACATAATTTATAGCAGAAGGTCAATCTAAATAGGATATGGTGTTATGTCCGGTCTCTCTTTCTGCAAGTAAGGAGGTACACTTTACACGAGGAAAATTCAAAGGGCTCTTTTAGCCAAATGTGTGTGGTAGGCATGGGGAAAAGATTTGGGGGGCCGAGCAGTTCCAAATGTGACCTCATGAGAAGGAGCTTTGGTTCAGAGTTTGCCCCAAATTTGACATGGAAATATTTTGAGAGAGTATTTTATGTCCTTGGTTTTTTGTTTCGTTGTTTACTAAGACCAAATGTGTCCTTTTGGGAACATCTTCCTGACAAATTTGAAAAGAGTCCCTCAAACTTTGTTACCTCAACCTATTCTTCCCTTAGAGACCATGTCTCTGAAACCCTCTGGGAAGCAATTTGAAAATGACTCATCATTCTTAAATAATAATTTAAAAAACAGGGGAAGGGCGCCTGGGTGGCTCAGTTGGTTAAGCGACTGCCTTCGGCTCAGGTCATGATCCTCGAGTCCCGGGATCGAGTCCCACATCGGGCTTCCTGCTCAGCGGGGAGTCTGCTTCTCCCTCTGACCCTCTTCCCTCTTGTGCTTTCTATCTCTCATTCTCTCTCTCTCTCAAATAAATAAATAAAAATCTTTAAAAAAATTAAAAAAAGGGAAAAAAACAAGAAAACATAATTCTATTGAAGAAGGGTCAACCATTTGGAAATTTTCAATGTGAATGAATGATGATATGCTTTAGCGGTACCTCTCCCCACCTATACCAGACAAACTTGTCCGCCCATCTTCACTACGTAACGGCTGTTTGTTTGATCTTGGTCAAGTTCTCTAAGCTCTGAGTCTCAGATGGCCCTTCCGGAGAACTGGACAATAGCAGTGGTCTCAGAGCGTTGGTAGAAGGTTGTGGATACAAGTCAGCATGCATGCCTCATCACATGGAAGGCATTACATAAATGTTCTCTGCTGCTGTGGTTTGCAGATTATGATAATATTATCCCCATCATCCCTCTCCCTTAAGGATGTGAAGAGCCAGAAGTCATGTTGATCCTTGGAGGAGGCTTGGAATTGTGCCCAGATGTTTGCATGTTGACAAAGAGCCAAGGCAAGAGGGGCACCTCTCATAAGGCTCCTGTCTGCTCAGAAACCAAGGCCGGGGAGGGGACGTGTCCCTTGAGGGCAGATCCAGACTGGGAGCCTGCAGCTTCCAAGCTACCTGACAAGTTTTTAACTACTCATCTGAAAGTGAGGAGATGCTTCTCTCCCCGCCCCGCCCCCAATCTGTTTCACAGAGTTCTTGGGGAGGGCAAGAAACTAAGACTGCAGGACTGGCCCATCAGGCAGGTTCATTTACAGACATTCACCGAGTACTTCTTCCTTTCTTCCCCTATCGTTAGCACAGAGCCCACCCCCCAGGCAGCAGATGGGTAGGAACAAGAATTGGACACCCTGCACCCATTTTTATCAATGTCACGGTCTCTTGCTATTTTATGTGTGCATCTATTTCTATTCTTCCTGTCAGACGCACAATCATCGTCCTTAGCCAAGTGCCCAGACCAATTCAGGCTCGTGTCAGAGAGCAAGCCACCGTTACACCCAAAAAGCAGGCCCTGTACCATTCTCCCAGTAATCATGGGTGCTGTGGAGAGAGAACCTCATCTTCGGACCTGGGCAACCAGCAGCCCCTGGGCATTCAGATGTTGAAGGTGAATGCTAACCTGCATTTAAGGCCTCTAGAGAGAGGAAAGATTTCTCCTACTGGGTGTAAGGGATTTTACTGGGCATTTGGTTTTAAAACTTTAAAACTAGTTTGTCGACTACCTCATTAATAAGTTTTCAGCATTCACCTGAAGAAAATCATTTGAAACTAGCATGCACATGACTTTTCCCCCTCCATTTCCAGTGTTCCAAGAGCTGTGGGCGAGGGGTGAGGAAGCGTGAAGTCCTGTGCAAAAGCTCCCCCACGGCAGAGAATGTCCCAGAGACCCTGTGCTCCAGCATCCCGAGGCCAGAGTCCCAGGAGGGCTGTGTGCTAGGACGATGCCCCAAAAACACCCGGCTGCAGTGGGTTGTGTCTTCCTGGAGTGAGGTAGGAGTTGCGGGTTTGTACTGCTGGCTTGTGTGTTTGAATGCTCAGGTCACCCACCAGCCCCCAGAGGCTCACACCTCCTCCTTGTTCCACACACACAGCAGGCGCCTACTAATTATCTTTCCTTCCCTCCGAACTCTTCATCAAACCCTGACGAAGCACCCATCGCACTGAGCGGGCCCGTGCCTGGGTGTGAAGGTGCACAACTCCACCCCGTGCGTGTGCATGGCAGCCCGGGTAGGGGGTGCAGAGTGTTGCAGTGGGGGTCTGTAATGCCATGAGTAGAGCTCAGGGTCCCCCAGCCCTGCCACCAGGGGGAGTCTTTGTCAGGAGAGACCTTCCGGGGAGTGTGAGTCTGAAGGATGGGCAAGAATTGGGCAAGGGTGGGGTTGGGGGAAGGTTGTTTCAGACCGAAGGAGGGCGAGGGGAAAGAAGGTGAACACAACCAATACGGTGGGGTGAGGGGGTGGTAGAAACCAAAAACTTCATCAGGGCCCCTGTGTTGGGGCCACTTAGCACCTAGAACAATCCAGCGTAAAGCAGGCAGCCCCCCAGACAGGCAAGGCTTGCCCACCGGGAGATGCTGTGATTGGAACAAAAGAGGAGTGTTCCAGGGGTGGAGAGAAGCAGCATCTTCTTGAGTTCCTAAGGAGGCCATTGTCACCTTCGGGCATATGTGGGTGGAGGGGAGAGGGACCCGTAAAGATGTCTCCTGGATTTCTGGCTTGGGAAACTCAGGTGCATGCACAGCCAGAGGAAATGTGAGAAAAGGAGCCCAGCCTGAAGTCTGTCCCAGTAACTGATGGGAAGGGTTCTCTGCTCTGGAGGAGAGCGCAGTACTGGGAGGAAGACAGAGGCCGGCACGCAGAAACAGGTCAATAGTGGGGACAGTGCGGTGCAGGAGAGGCAGGGCTTCTAGCCCAGCAGCCCCTGGCTCTGGCCATCGGTGTCCTTTTATTCCATCTAAATGATGAGTAACCCACATAGCAATGCGTCCACCTCTCTTCCCCACCATTTTCTTTGAGATGTTATAGCCTAACGGCTAAATGCACAGGTGAATCAGATTTACCTCCAGTATTCGCTCGGGGTGTGACCTTGAGCTAGCCGCTTACCCCAGCAGAGCCTCACTGCTGGACAGTGCCTCATTTTGCCTCATTTCATGGTGCTGACAAGCTCTGAGATGTTGGGACAGTTAATCGAATTCTCCAGCCTTTGGTTTCTTCGCAGTAGCATGAGGGACATGGTTGCCTTGTCTTTAGGATTCTTGAGTACCTGTGGTTCACCTGCAATGATCCCATTCCGAGAATTTCACGTGGAGGGTGCATCTGCTCAGCAGACTTGACTGTGGAGCTCTGCACACCTAACGCCCCCCTTCTTGGCTCCTAGTGTTCAATGACCTGCGGTTTGGGTGTGAGGAAGAGGGAGATGAAATGCAGCGAGAAACCCTTCCCGGGAAAGCTCATCACTTTCCCGGAGCGAAGGTGCCGCAATATTAAGAAACCAAACCTGGAGTTGGAAGAAACCTGCCAGCAAGGGGCTTGTCCCGCCCATCCGGGCTTCAGCGTGGCAGCGGGATGGTATCCATCACCATGGCAACAGGTGAGCACCCTCAGATTTCCGTGAGATTCTCAGAACGGGGGCAGCCCACCAGCGCCTGCCCTGGGGGACCCGTCCAAATGGAAAGACCAGAAGCTCGGGTCCGGGAGGCCGAACGACTTGCGATCTTTGGCCAGCTCCCCCACCTGGGTGGCCCTGGGCCGCTTCCGTCATTTTACAGCTAGAAAATCAAGATGATAATGTCTCGAAGAGCTGATTTTTTTTCATGAGCACCTAAGATAATATAAAATGCACTTAGACCAGGCTGGTCACATGGTACCAAATATTCACTATTGCTTCTGCTCTCAAAATCCCCACGAGAGTCTTGTATTCTAGCAACATTGCTCATAGTCTTGACTCCTGTGGTTTTTATGTCATGTTGCTGAATGATGTAATAATTCATTTGTTGAAACTGCCTTGTTCGTGGGTACTTTTGTCCCTATTTCGTAGAGGAAGCAGGGAAAGCTCAGAGGTGGTCAATTCAGGCAAGGACACCCCCCCCCCCCCCCCGCCGCCAGCTCTTAAACCCACTAGGTGTTTGAGGCACCCTTTTTCTCAGAAGACTTGGGTAAAATTTTGGTTTCAGTGGTTTGGTTCTGATTGGCTGGGTCGGTGTGTGAAGCAAAGTCTGAGTGAGAAGTTGTGTTGTGGTCCTTTCCAACCAGCAGATGTCAGAACTCGCTGCCCACCCCATCATTAAACACAGGGGCTGGGTGGGGGCATGTGCAAGCACAAATGTAGCTCTGTAGATTTGTGTCCACGTCAGTACACGTACATACACACAATATAGAACGTGTGTATTTATGTGTCTGTATACACTGATGCGTGCCTATGTATTTGTAAGTACACCGACATACACATGTATATATGTATATATCATGCGTGTGTGTGCCTGTGTGTATTGGGGAGGATCTGAGAACTAAACCATGAGGAAAAGCAAAGGAAACTAGTGTGATTGTGTATCTCTAATTGGCTACACGCTATTTACATCACTATGGACTTCTTTTTCAAATTTTATCACTTTTTTTAAGAGATTTGGAAATTGCTTCATTTTAAGACTATTTAGATCAGGTATCAGAAGACAATTGCCAGCAGGCCAAATTTGCATCCCCCAAGTCCCGCCTATTTTTTTGTAAATAAAGTTTTATTAAAACAGAGCCATGCTCTTTTGTCTACATATCGCCCATGGCTGCTCCTGTGCTTCAAAAGGCGGACTTGAGTGGTTGCAATAAACATCACATGGCCCACAAACCTGAAAATATTTACTATCTTGCCGTTTACAGAAAAAGTTTGCCAATTCCTGGTTTAGATGATAACAGTCCTACAGCTGTCTACCTTTAGCTCTTGGCATTAAATCCAAAACTCATGTTTTCCATCCCCGCATATTTTTTCTTCCCAAATACCAGTCCATATAATGATGCTTGTCCAAGATGAACACTTCACCTATCTGCAATAAGAAAAAAAAGCATTATGTAGTGAATTTTTAAAAGCAAAGGGCTTTTTTTCCTGATATTTCATTTATTCTTTTGTTATAAAATATCTTTGTGTCTGGAAAAAATACAGTTGATAGTCCTTGTTAGTCATCTTTTTTTTTTTTTTTTTGACTGAAAAGTGAAATCATTGACTTCTAGGAAGCACCACACCCACTGTGCCAACTCAGAATTTGGCCAGGCACCGAGGGTGGGATTCCAAAGCTGTCTCGGAAGTATTATTTCTTCCCTGTCCTAATGCTGAAGCATCCCCCGCCCCCCACTACTGCATCTGCAGAGATTATCTTGAATTCTTTAAATACTGTGATGATTTGTTTGGCGTCCTTATGGCAGCTTCTGTATTTCTGGAAGCTTTCTTCTTTATGAGTCACTGAAATGGAGACACACTCTCTGGGGCGAGATAGATAGCATTTGCCTAAGACCCCCTTCTAATCAGGTCACATGGCTGTTGTGTATTAGACTGTGGATGTGAGCACACATGCCGGGCTCTGGCCAATCCCTGCTTCATCAACAGGGCACCCGGGTCATGGCATGAAGCCTGGAGATCCCTTCTGTTTGACATCACTGACCTCCAAAAGGACAACCTCCAGCTGAGTGTTGCTGACTCCTAGCTCTTTCCCTTTTCTGCAGTGCACGGTGACCTGCGGAGGGGGTGTCCAGACCCGCTCAGTCCACTGTGTTCAGCAGGGCCGGCCTTCCTCCGGCTGTCTGCTCCATCAGAAACCTCCAGTGCTGCGAGCCTGTAATACAAACTTCTGTCCTGCTCCTGAAAAGAGAGGTAACGTGCCCCCCACACCAGTTAGTTGTACTAGTCTTCAGAGAATTTTTCAAAAACCTGTTTTTGAATTTTTCAAAATCCTGTTTGGTTGTACAGTTGATTCCTTGCAACAACTCCAGGGGGTGCCATTCACACCACTGTGTGAACCGTGCTCTGCACAGGTGTACAAGGCACAAATCAGGGGTGGTTTCTGCTCAAAATGATCTTGTTTGCACACCTATGCAGGGAACATTTTATTCTATGGTAAGGCTTGTTAGCCATTAATTCTTATTTGAAAGGGGGAAATAGTCATCTTGCAAGTCCATTTTTTAACACTGTTTTAGTTAAGTAAGAAAATGAAAAAGTAACCACCATGTGCCAGAGATTACACTCCTCAGTGGGAATGCAGGCATGAAGGGGAATTGTCCTGGAACTCACATTTTAATTGGGGAGGCAGGTAAGTTGCAGTCAGTCAGTGAATGTACATCGTCCCAGGACCACAACCTTATGTGTTTCCTTAGTTACAGGCCATTCTAACAAAGTATAGCATGTGCTGATGGGAAAATGGGAAATCGAATTATCTGAGTGAACTACACTGTGTTTCACTAGCCCAGCTTACTTCAGAGTAATCTGACCAACACACCAGGAAAAGTCTGCTCCCCCTAATCAGATTTCGTTGTGCTAAAGAATTATGTTCCACCATGTACCTGCTGCATTTTCTTTTCATCCAAGCACGGCTTTTCCAAGACTGTTTCGTTTCTTACCCTGTGCTTTCCAATCTGTGGTGAATCAGATTCAGGACTTTGACTCACTGGCTCTCCTTGCCCCTACCACTTCACGTGTCTAAATTGTTGCCCTTGTTTATCTGCATCTTAGAGCCGTAGCTCCAGGCTCTGGGCAGGGGTTTTCCCTCCTCTTCCCTCTCTCCTTCGTTATCTGAGGCTTGCACGAGATAAGAGAACTAGTAATACAGCCGCTGCTCAGAGCTACATCACTTCCAAGGCAAAGCTGGAATTCTCCAAACCTGCAGCCTTTTTTGGCAGAAAGCTTCTGGGGGAAGAAATACACATTTTGAGCAAGTGGTCATGTACCTGCAAACTGTCTCCTCCTTTCTTCCCCCTTGGTGACTTCTCCTTCCCCCCCTTCAGTCAGATGGCCCCAGCCAAACCCACACGTGCCAAGAATCAGAAGTACAGGCCCCCTATGTACTTTGAGACAGGCTTAAGGGCAATGGCCGACCATGAAAATTGCTCAGCTGTATCTCCTGGGTAGGAGTGCTAGGTGGGGAGAGCCAAGACACATGTTAGATCCAAAATGGGGAGGGGAGGCCCCTTGGTGTTACTATTTTGTTCATCCAGCACCCTGCCTGGCACACCGTAGATGCTCAATACGTGTTAAGTGGAAGATTGTGTGTAAAGTACCTTGAGGTTCTCTACTTCCTTCAAAGCCAGGTCACTAAGCACCTGCTGTATTTCCCTAGCATTCTTCTAGAGATAAAAGAACAAGGCAATATCCTTTTCTTAAGCTACAAGGAGTCAGTGTGTCAAAGGAGGAGGAAGGTACGACAACAGATATGAGTGGTGGAGTGTTACCAGTGTTATAATGGAGGTCAGTTCTCCATGGGTTGCAGGGAGGGGGCCAGTGAAAGACGGTGGTCTGAGCAAGGGTTATTAGAAGAAGGATGTCTTTCCATGCCTCTTGAGTAAGGTCTCTTTTATGAAGAGGAGTAAAGTAAGGCAGATATGAAAGACAAGCCTGGGTATTTCTTCTTGGCCAAAATGGGGCCCATGGTTAGTACAAGTCGGAGGCCTCCCCCCACTTCTCCCGTTCCCATCCCAAATGCAGGGGGAGTGGCCTGCCCAAATTACTGCTGGGTTAGTCTTCCTTCTTAGATCATTGGCAGGGTGACCACAGGTGGAATTGGAGTGTGTTTTCTAACACTGGGGTTTCTACAAGCATTAGTGGGCAATAAGCAAACCCCTGGTGCCTTAGGGAAGAACTCTTGGAATGTTCTGAGACTCCCATGATTGGCTCATGGCCAGGCTTTTGAGGCACCGTCTTCCCGTCCAAGAGCTGAAAGAAGACAGTTCTGCCCAGATTGGCATCATCCTGTCCTGCAGGACAGCCACGTGGGTGTGCCATCTCTCAGACCCCGACCCATGCTGGAAACCAGTCTAGGGCCCTCACTTGATGCCATCATCACTGTGGGATGCTTTACCTGGGTCTTCATTGGATTTCCACTTTGGGAGAACATCCTATGAGCTGGCATTGTGCGTATTTTATGTGTAAACCTTCTTCAGAATAGAGGGAGGCCTCAGGCAGTGACATCACTCATCACTGTATTGCGACTGGTTGTTGACGTAGTCGGAAAGAAGCCTGGAAGCCTGGGTTGCAGCCTAGTGGGATTCAGTGGGGGATGAGCAGCACCCAATATGAGTTAAGTTTACTCCTCATGGAATCTCACATCCTCACATGGAGAGGGGGCGGGATGGGCAGTATTGTACAGCGGGAGGAGCAAGCACTCTGACGTCACCAAAAGGATTTGAGTCCACACGCTGCCATTTACTGGTTGGCGGCCATGGGCAAGCTTTTGAACCATTTATAAAATGGAGAAATAATGCTTACCTGAAAAGATCATTGAGAGCTAAGTAAGATGCTTCAATTTTTCCACATTTATTTAGTACTTACCGTGAACTAGGAACTGTTCTGGTGTCTGATTGTAGATAGAACACTGAACAAAATGCGCAAAGTTTCCACTTTATATCTGGAGACAAACAAAGAAGCCAATCAATAAATATACAATGTCAGATAATAAAGTAGAAAATAAAACCGAAGCAGGGTATTGAGAATGAGAATGGGGGATGAAGACAGGGGTGGGAAAACTGGTTCAGATAGACTAGTCAGGCAAGGATGATGTGATATTTAAACAGGGACCTAAAGATGACCTAAAGGAAGGTGAGCTGTATGTATCTCGAAGGAGAGTGTTCCTGGCAGGGGCAACAGCACATGCAAAGGCCCTGAGGTGGGAATGTGTGAATCTGATCAAGGAACAGCAAGACACCTGGAGTCAGATGTCTAAAGTGGACAGGGGTTAGGTGATTAGCTGAAGCTGGTCCTGGAGCCGTTTTCAGTCTTTGTAAGGACCTAAAATTTAACTCTGAGTGAGGTGGAAGCTGATGGAGAGCTTGGAGCGGAGGGGCAGTGGGATTGGAGTTGTGGGAAGATCCCCAGCAGTTACACAGAGAAGAGTGTAGGGGCCCAGAGCGGCAGGAGGATTTGTCCACTCTTGGTTGGGAGGAGGTTCCCTTAGAGCAGCGGCCATAGTGGGAGAGGCTGGGTGCTGGTATATTCTGAAAATTGAGCTCATGTATAATATTTGTCAGTTGTTTGCACGCAGGATGTGAGGCAAAGAAAGAGGACACCAAGGTCATCCTCAATAGCGCACATAAAATACGTGACTGACGACAGACGCTCAAATCACCAGCTATTAGTCATCATTAGAATAACCATAATCAAACACAGTGCTCATCTTGATGGCACAGTGATACACCTCCCTTCTCCTTCCTGACTTAAAGTTAGCTCATAGCAGAAGCTGCAGAAGCCAGCTGAAATCCCATTCTTAACTCAAAAGGAGCAAGTGTTGATAGAGCAGCACAGTTAGGACCATGGTTTTAGTGATCTGTTTTTATCCTGATGCAGTATTTCCACTGCAACAATAGGATAATCTCTGCAATTTAAATAGAAACTGATTCAGACGTACAATCTGATTGATTAGGCTACGTGCTAATTGGCTGGGATAGAAGACACTGTACAAGTATAAAAAATAATTGAAGATGAAAATATAGATATATAGATACATAGGCAAACAGTTTAGACGGGTGTTCATCTCACGTCTGACTTGTATCTTCTCCTGGGGCCCCACCCCTGCCCCCATGATGGTCCACATCAGTACACCTTCTTCTAGATGCTCGGGGCAAAGAGCTGATCATCATTACTGATTTTTCTTTTCTCTCTCATACCTTTACCAACCTGTTAGAAAGTTCTCTAGACCATATCCAGGAGTTATTGAAAAGAAAAAAGAATGATCTTAGTTCACCTTTCTACCCAAGTTGAGACGTTGTAGGTTTCATATTGGTTGTTTCAGCCATGAGGGTTCCAGGGAAACTTATTTTTTCAACAAATATTTCTCGAGCAGCTACTTTGTGACAGGCATTAGGCCTGAAAACAGTAGGCGAAACCCCCGCTCTCAAGGATTTTCCATTCTAGAGAGGAGCCAGACAGTAGGCAGCACAGAATAGGATGAGTGCTGATAGACCCAAGGCAGAAGAATAACGCACGGTGCGGAATAGGGAGCAGGGAGTGTTTTCTGGGAGGCCACAGAGCACACTGCTGGTATGGAGGAGTGTGGGAAGGCCCTACTGTCAGTGACCTTCGAGCAGAGACTTAAAAGAAGGGATCTGGATGTCTGGGGGAAGCTACAGTATGCCTGGCATGTTAGGGCATCTGCCAGGGGCCCCATGTCGGGGAGGGGATGAGAGGAGGAAGATGAGGTCAAACAGAAGTGGGGGAACCAGATCCTAGGGCTTTGTCGGCCTTTGTAGGGACTAACCCTTTCCCTCTGGGTGGATGGAGGGGCCAAAGGGAGAGTTTGGGGCTGAGACATGACATGAACTGACTTATCTGTTCAAAGGATCAGTGGGGGTCCTATGAGATGGGTGGGGCGCTGTATTTTAGGCGGAAGACCCAAGGCAGGGGAAGGAACTGTAGGCAATTCTGAATCACAAAGAGGCAGGATTCAAATCGATAGGAGAGCTGAGACCCTGGCATGCCATGTCCAAGGGCACGGAGCAGAGCTCCCTAAGGATAATTTTGGAAGGGGGTGGGTGGGGTGCCTGTGCGCCATAGGGGGCGTTGGGCAAGGTGAAGGTAAAGTGACTTTTGAGCCTTGCATAGAGGAAGGGGAAAACGCTTCCAACCATGAATGAGAAGACTTATTCATGTAGAGGGTAGACCATAAATTACTTTTGAAGTCAAAATTCCTTGAGAATCCAGTAAAATGGCTAAGGCCCTGACTCCTAAAATGTGCACTGAGGTTTTTATAAAGAAAATCTTATATACAATTTCACATGCCTTCCATGTCTAGTGAGGCCCTTCTGGGTGAGAATCCCTGATGTACAATGTTCTGCTTCCAGTCCATAATCCCATCTGTCAACAAAAGAAGTCAGGACTGGTGTTGACTTGAATTCACTCAGTTGCAAATTGGCTAGGAGATTTATTTAAATCGACCTGGAGTATTGCAGCTGGGCATCAAATGCAGGTGTGCTGACTCCCGATATCTTAGGTCTCCTGTCCCCCAAAGTAAGGTTCCGTGGACCAAGCAGCAGCAACAGCACCTTAGCTCTCACCTCAGACCCTCTGAATCAGAAGCAGTGGTTTATCAAGATTCCCCACGGGATTCCTCGCATGCTATGCTAGGGAAGCAAAATGGTGACTCCCAGGCTATTGGGAGGATCAGACATGAATCTCTGGCTGGATTTGACATTTTCTTTTAACATCCACTTTCCCCCCTCCCTTTAACATTTAGCTAAGGATCTTAATCCCTTTTGATGTCTTAATCCTGCATCCCCAACCCTCCCAACAAAGTCCTAGTGTGTAAAGAGCAGAACAACTCAGAGGCACAAGGCAGGTGCGTCCAAGGTCTTTGACCCGGAGGCTCTCACCTTAAGAAAAAGGCTAAGCTTCCTCCTAAGGGGTGAAATATTTTTTCTCTCACTGCAGAGGATCCATCCTGTGTAGATTTCTTCAGCTGGTGTCACCTAGTTCCTCAACATGGTGTCTGCAACCACAAATTTTATGGTCAACAGTGCTGCAAGTCATGCACGAGGAAGAGTTGATCTAGACACCCTCCCCAACACCCGAGGGCCAGGCTGTTCCCTCTTGCCTCTGGAGAGACCAGCAGTGATTCACATTGAAAGCTAAACCCTGCAGACCAGCCATGCACTGCAGCAGAATCTGTGGAGCTGGCTCTCGAGGACAGACAGGCTCCCTTATCCACTTCCCCAAAGCACATGGTACTCCGAAGCACTTGAAAATGGGAAGCGAGCACAAAATGGACTTCCAAAAGAAAAGACAAAATAACTTTGATTTGCACTGTTACAACGAAAGAAGTGATGAATCACACTGACAGACGTCACATTTTCATTTTGACAAAGTGAGAATCTGGTCAATGGTGGGAGAGACTCCCCCTTTGAATGTCAAGGGTTCCATGGTAAAGACATCTGTGTCAAAAAGGTCCTTGAAGACTTCGGGTCAAAGACGGAGCCTTGGAGCCATCAAATATGGATGGAACCCATTGCCTGACTGTTACTTGGAGCTCCCAGTGTGCCTGACACTGTGGACAGTCACCCAGGAAGCCAAATGGTGCTCATAACTGTGCTTGCTGCTGGACTAGCAAGCTTCATGTCATGTTTATCTAGTGTGCGTGTGTTGTTTTCATTATTTTGTTTAGAGTATATTCTGCTTCTAGAGAGTCTCCAAGACTAAAATTCACAACTTGAAAAGTATTCCGAGGAATATTCTGAAAACAGGGCAACATGGACTATTTGAGATCTGCATTTAATTGAAACTCAGACTCAAAAAAAAGCCCACAAACTCACATAAAAGGCAAATGTTGATGTCCTACACAGTACATCAACCTTGTAACTTTTGGTGCTAACTGAACAAGTCCACGGGAGCCTCTAGTCTGCTCTTTGGGAGTCAGAATTGGTGAGATGTTCATTTCTGGTAAAAAATCTAGGAGGAGCTAAATAGCAAAATAGCAGTGTTTTGAAAGCGAGTAGACCATCATTTATAAGGCTCCCTACATACTGTCAGAGCTGCTTGGAAAATTAAAGACCACTTGTGGTTTTTTTCCTACCAACTGTCATGTTTAAATTTTCCCTAGGATTTAGTTAACAAGAAAAAAAGAGTGGCAATAGAAAAACCCATCTTGCTAAGTTAATATATCATAAGCCAAGATCCTTCGATGAATAAGAATATTTTATAATCTTTCAGATGATATTTTCAGTCATCAGAAGCCAGCTGTTGATAGGCACTAATGAGCTTAAAATTGTTCTCAATTGGAAAATACCACACTATTTTGCCAAAACCAAAGTAACTTACAAGACTGAGTCCTTCTGTAATTTTTTGAGATGTGGTTAAAAAGGGCATATTTATGTAATTCTACTCTATTCCTCAATTTCTTTGATGAATGTAACCCAATTTTACTGCTTTATAAAGTCTCAATTCAAACAGGGATTTGCCAGCTCAGCACAACCAACTAGACAGTGGTTTGTTAAATTTAGAGCATGCTTTGTTCCCATTCTAATTAAAATCATGCATTCTTGAATCAGAGAAATAATGATTAGAATAGTCTCTCAATCCACTTGGCTTGGCCTAGAGTAGTGGCCATTTTGTCATCAGAAACACAGCTCCACATCACCCACCCCTTTGCCCTCTGAAAAATTGCAAATTATTTGTTTCTTTATATAATGATCATTTTATTATTTTATGGAAAAATTAATTTATTAATAGCCTATTCTTATGTGTTCTCACTTGCTTCTGTAAGTGATATTAATTCTGAGGGAAAATGTTGAATAAAACAATGGGTTATAGAGAAAAGTCAAAATATATGTGTAATATTTAATTATTTTATAAGTTTTATAATAAAGTGTTCTGTTTCTTTATCTTTGAAATTTGTTAAGTTCTTGAATAAGGTAGAGGTCAGTTACTTCCAAGATCATTTAACTGTATAAATGTTGATTAGGAATCTCAGTACTTTCTCAATGAAAAGTTGGGAAGATAAAATACTCATTAATTGATTTTTCTGGCTTGTGTCTGAGAAAATTAGAAACCACCAAAAGTCGGGGTGAGATGGAGGACGTATTTAGCATCTTACAGAGATACAGAGTTATTTTTTCCTGCTCTAATGCTTTGTCAACATTTATGGAAATTGTCCAAGTTAGATAAACCTACCATAAGCGTAGCTGGCTTTCTCCTTTATTTTTTCCATTTGAATGGCATTCTGGTGAAATCCTTTTGCAAAAAGAAAGAGAGGAGGGAGAAAAGGAAGAAAAAACAAATTAAAAAGCAATTGTTTCAGGTTTTCAAAATTTGGAATCATCAGACCAGTAGAGAATAAAAACAATCTGGGCAAAGTCAGTCCAGTTGACCTGAATATATATTTTCCCCTCCACATGTGCTTATATATATGTACATGAACATGTCCTATATGTGTGTGTGTGTGTGTGTGCGTGTGTGTGTGTGTGTATATGTGGATCATTTATGCAAGCAGGTCTTTAAAATATATTTAAGAGGATTTTTATATGAATTGCTATTTGGCAAAAAAAAAAAACTGGTTAAGAATGAAAAATAGAATAGATGGCACAAAAAATAGCAGAAGAGAAGGTATCCGTGTGCCTTTTGGTGATAAAATGTTAATGACAGCCATCATATATCTAGTGTTTGGTGTTTAATGGGTGCCAGAGACGGTGCCAAGTTCTTCATGTATGTTAGTTCTTTTAATCCTCTCAAGACTCTAGTTAGAAAGATACTATTTTATTTTAAGATTTTATTTATTTGACAGAGAGAGAGAGAGCACAAGTAGGCAGAGCAGTAGGGAGAGGGAGAAGCAGGCTCTCCGCTGAGCAGGCAGCCCGATGCGGAACTTGATCCCAGGACCCTGGGATCATGACCTGAGCCGAAGGCAGACGCTTAACCGAGTGAGCCACCCAGGCACCCCAGAGAGATACTATTTTTTTCCCTTTGCAGGTGAGGACTCTGGGATTCTGAGAGATCACATATTTCATCCAAGGTAGCCGTAAAAGTGAACTCCATAAATAATATAAATATTTAAATTGTTCATTTTAGTTGAAAATAGTCACTGTAATTGGTTTACAGAATTCCTGTCTGGAAAAAAATTCCCCAGCAAGAATAGGGGAGCTGTTCAGAGCTCCTCAGGAATATTCAGTTTTGCATGACTAAGCTTAAGATCAAGATGGAATTTTCTCATCAGTAAGATGATTTTTATCCTTAGTGCTAAGTTACATTTGTGCATAGAAAAGGAAAATTGTGTCTATTTAATTGTACTTTTCTGGATAGACATTGAGAATCATGGTATAAGTGACTTTGGTTCAAATTGCCGTGTATTGAGAAACCATCAGGAGCAATATCCAGAATATGTTTTTCTGAATGTGTTCAGTTATTTGTTTCTGCCAAGTAATGGCTAATTGCCTTACCCCTGCACACAACCACCATCCTGGTCGAACATTATGAAGCCATACGTCCCAGGTATGGTTGTTTACCTGAATTATGTTCAGTGAGGGGCAGAGTTGAGTTCACAATCAGGTCATTTAGTAACAAGAAGTGATTTATATAATTGTTAGTTGTTTTAATGGATAAAGAGGTTCAAAATTGTTCCTAGCATCCTAACTGGGATGAGCAAGAGGCACTAATGTCTAGGAAAAGGAAACCCTAGAGGCCATGTCTCCCCAAGCCCCCTGTTTCTTTCCACCCCTCTTGCCTTCTTCCTTGCATCGCCTTGGCCTCCCCTTTCAGGTTGTCTCTGCCCCATACAAGTTAGGACATCACCTGACACTACCTTGCATTGCACCGCAATGCCCTTACCACATGTCAGAAAACACCAGATGAACATTTGGTGCTCCTTACCCCTCCATCTTACCGCTCATGGACTTTCTAAACCAAGTGCTCAGTACAGAGTGGCACTGTATAAAGTTAACCGTCAGAGCCCTTGAGAGATGGTCTTTGAAGGTTAACCAGGACCAGAGGCTGTTCATGCTGGAGACAAGGCCCAGACATGTCTCTCCCTCTGACTCCCCTCTGGTCTCTCCTTTTATGTGGCTGGAGCACAGGAAGGACCAGGCAGCCCCCTCTTGTCAGAAGGCCAAGCCAGCTCTTCTGTTCCTCTGCATGCTCCTCCTCTGTTTCTGCAGACCCATTCCATCTATCGTGGGGCTCAGTATCTCCCCTTCCTTGGAAAGAGGTTCTCTCTACCCTGCCCCATCGCTTTTGAAAGCCAGTTGGATCTAGAGTAAGTCTTGGGACACAACAGTTTCTAAATAATTAGCTGCATGAACAATCACTTAAGGATATTTTATACATTCCTAGGCCCCACTCCAGAAATGTAATTAATTAATTCTGGGAGTAGGGCTTGGGAACTTAGAGTTTAAAAGGCATTCAAGTTTCTCAGAGGAAAAGCTAGTTTTGGAACCACTGGTCTAGGGCAAATAAAGTACCTCGAGTCTGTCTTCCTTGTGTAGGGGAAGGAGTTCCCTTGGCACCAGGCCCTCCGGTACAGCTCTGCTGGGGTCTGAACCAAACTCAGCCAGTAATAATGGGGGGTTTGCCTGTTCTCATCCTCTGTATGGAATTCACCTGGGACACTCTTGGGGCTATCACAATAATGCATCAAGAAGAGGACTCACAGGCAAGGACCAATGCCCTGGGATATCTTTGTCTTGGTGTCTTATTCCCAACCATGCCAGTAGCCGACAGCAGGGTTTGGTGGGCAGGCAATGGAAATGTTTGAAGGAAATTGGCCATTTCTCTCAGTCAAGCACCCACATGCAAGAATTAGTATACTGTGGGTTTTGTTTTTTTTTTTTTTTAAAGAAAGGGCCTTCAATAGAGAAGCCAATGAAATCCCCATCAGAAAGTGTCTTTTGGCAAATTACTCCAGGGCCTTGTGTGTACATTGAGAAACCCACAGTACGTGGAAAAAAAACAAAACAAAACAAAAAAACAGTTGTGCTCCTGAGATCCAGAGTCAAGGCAGAATAAAGGCTTCCATCCTATTTCCTGCCGGGACACTGGGTGCCAGGAGGTGAATTAATCACTT